AACCACCACACAGACTAGCCATACTAAGAGTGAACAAACGTCTCTTAGCCTTCCTATGGAGCCTACTATTATAGGATTCCCTATTCCTGCGGGAACCAAGTGACAGGAGCCAAGAATGTCTTGTTAGCTAAAACAAAAGTTCTCAACCAGGCCAGAGTTTGGTTTTTCAGAGCATCTTCAGCAATGTCTGCAAACATTTTTGAAAACCTTGGGGAGCCATTCCCATCTCTCAGGTAGAAGCCAGGAATGCTACTAAGCTCCCCACAGTGTACACAAAGCCTTGACAAGCAAGAAGCATGAGCTTAGAAAGCCAGTAGTGCTCAGGTTGAGAAAGCTTAGCAACAGGAAATGTAATTAAAAATGTTTGAAAAGTCATAAGGATATCAGAACCCACCTGTAGTTTGACTTCATCCATTTGTTTACTAAAGTAAGATACCCCACTCCTGGTAACAATTTCTGTTTTAGTTAGGGTGATGAATGTTGTGGTGAAACACTATGACCAAAAAAGCAACTCGGGGAGCAACAGGTTTATTTTGCTTACACTTCCACATCACTGTTCATCATCCAAGGAAGTCAGGACAGGAACTCATCAAACGCATGAATCTGCAGGCAGGCTCTGATTCAGAGGCCGTGGAGAATTGCTTGCTTGCTCCTTGTAAGCAACTTGCTTGTTCAACTTACTTTTTTTTTTTTTTTTGGTTTTTTGAAGACAGGGTCTCTCTGTGTAACAGTCCTGGTTGCCCTGGAACTCACTCACTCTGTAGACAAGGCTGACCTTGAACTCACAGAAATCTGTCCACCTCTGCCTCCCAAGTGCTGGGATTAAAGGCATGCGCCACCGTACTTGGCTTAACCCTCTTTTTTAAAAACAGAATACAAGACCACCAGCACAGCCTGATCTTATGGAAGAATTTCCTCAATTAAGGTTCCCTCCTCTCAGATGACATAAAAACTAGCTGGCACAAATGACCCCTTATCAACTTGGCACACAAACATGTTGATAGCTTATTAAGCATAACCTTTCCTTTCTTGTGATCCCCAAGATCTCATATTAATATTACATTATAAAACCTTTAAAAGTACCATAGTCTTTACAAATTTCAACACTTTAAAAGTTCAGTCTCTTTAAAAATCCCAAGTCTCTATAAAGCTCCCAAAGCTCTTAACTCTGGGTTCCTGTAAATCAAAAATAAACTGAATACTTTCTTATCCAAAGAGAAAGAATCAGGGCCCAGTCAAAATCAAAGCAAAGCCAAGTTTTAACTGTGTAAATAACTCAGTGTCCAGTGTCCAGATCTTCTGGGCTCCTCCAAAGTGCTTGCCACGGTTCCTTTTCTAAATTAGAGAAATACTCTCACGTCTTTTTAAAAATCATCTTTTGTTATCATATATATATATGATAACAAATATATATATATATATATATATTTCTGTATGAAATTCCTGTACCTTACTTCCTCTCAGCTCCCCAGATCTACTTCAAGGTCTTAAAAATCAGCTCTTTAGTCCAAGGGCTCCACCTGGTGGTTCATCCTGGAAATAAGCAAAGTTTGAATTGTTTCATTTCTGTTTTTTAATTTTTAAACAATCGAAACATAATTATAGAAAAGTTACATGACACAAAAATATTTTCCTGAACAATTTAAGAGTAACTTTCTGAAATAATGTCCGTGATTCCCTCCAACAGTTTAGAGGGCATTGCTTATCAAGAAGAACATCTCAGCACTTCAGAGGCCAGCCTGGCTAAAGTCACTGTTTCAAAAAACAGGTGACAGCTCTGGAGAAATGACGTCCAAGGCTACCCTCTGGCTTCATGTACGCATACTCATGTACGCGCGCGCGCGCACACACACACACACACACACACACACACACACACACACACACACACATATTGCACATAAGGTATTCTATTATGATTTAACTACCAAATATTCTCAATTATCATACTCACTGCTTTTACTTTTATAATATGTGTAAAATAGCAAAGAATAGTTATGGCTGGGTATGGTGGCACACGCTTTTAATCCCAGCACTCACTCAGGAGGCAAAAGCAGCCGGATCTCTGTGAGTTCAAGGCCAGCCTGGTCTACAAAGAGAATTCCAGAATAGTCAGGGCTGTTACACAGAGAAATCCTATCTAGAAAAAAAAAACAAAAACAAACACAAACAAACATGGTCACTGGCAAGATTATCAGTGGATCAAGTGCTTGCTGCCAAATCTGATGACCTGAGCTAGGTCCCCAGGATTCTCTTGGTGGAAGAAGAGAGCCGACTCCCAAAAGTTGTCCCGTGACTGCCATATATGTGCCACAGTGGCTGCACACAGAAAATAAATTAATTTTCATCATTACTTGTTTCATAAACGATATTTTGATCATGTTTTCTCCTCCCCCAATCCCTCCCTACCTCCTTACCCACCGAACTTCGTGTTCTCTCTCCCAAAAGAAAAAACACAAACAAAACAACAGTAAGAGAAAATGCCAAAACGAAACAAAAAAGCATACGTGTGGGTGCACACGCACGCACATGTGTGCATTTACACACACACACACACACACAAACACACCATGGACCTCTGTTTTAGTTATTGTTCTATTGCTATGAGGAGACAACCTGGCCACGGCAACTTTCAGAAGAAAGCATTTAACTGGGAGCTTGTTTGCAGTCTCAGAGGGTTAGTCCATTTTCATCCTGGTGGGGAGTGTGCTGGCAGGCAGGCTGGCATGCACTGGAGTGGTAACTGCGAGCTCATTTCTGATCTGCACGTTGCAGCCAGAGAGAGAGTGACTGATTAAGACTAGGCCTGGTGTGGACTTTTGAAACCACAAAGCCCAACTCAAGTGGCACACCTCCTCCAACAAGGCCACCACTGTTGGGGGATATTAAATCACACTTCAAACCCTGAGTTTCCATTGGCATTAGTTAAATAAAATTAGTCTTGGGTCAGGAGGCTGCGTTTGCAACTGGTTGACAAGAAGTAATCATAGAGCATCAGAGGGCATCCGGGAGAGATAGAGAGACACAGGAAGTAGGTCCTGAGTGGCTCAGCTTTTTCTGGGTTTGCCAAGCGGAAGCAAGGGTCTTTGGGAGACTCCAGCAAGGAGGGAAGGTTAGCTAATTGCGACCCAGCCTCTCCGAGCTCGAAGCCTTTGAATCTCGAGTCTTATTTATAAATAAAGCAATAGAGATTTAGTTAAAGCTACCTTTAGCAGCAACAGCAGTCAGTGCCTGCAGCAACAGGATTCCCACCAGGCTGCAGCCTGAGGGGCCAGGCTGCTGCTAGAGAAGCAGGCCGGTAACTGTGGAGTTGCAGTTGCTGGCTGAAATAGCAGGAGATTAGGGCACAGCCACTAACCTTCATCATAGCCGAAGTTAACACACAACTAATCCTTCCTAAACAGTACCACTAACTGGGTACCAAACACGCAAACATATGAGCCTATGGGGGTCATTTCATTCAAACCACCACAGGTTCATTTTGTGTTGGTCAGTTACTCCTGGACATGGGGCCTGGCCTGGATCATGGTTTGTGTAATGAATGATAAGGCGCGCAGGAGGCCTTGGCAGGTTTTGGAGCCAAGGTGCCCCTCAGCGGGTGAGAGGCACAGCGGACAGTGGAAAGTTACTAACACCTGGCAAGTTTATTTTGGGGTTTGGGGAGAGGGGAGAGAAATGGAGGAAAGGAGAAAAGAAAGAGAAAGATATAGAAAGAGAGAGGGAGAGAGAGGTGCGCTGCCTCTGGCAAGGGGGGAGAAAGAGAGGTGGGGAGGGGTTTTTTCCTCTTAAGGGGACTTTAATGTAAAGTGACATCAGGACACTGGGCTGGTCTCCAAGGGGCAGGTCAGAATACTAACAGTTCGATAGTCCATTGTATGGTGATATTTTATTTTGTACTAAAATGTTATTTGTATGTTAATAAATAAAGTTGCCCGGGGGTCAGAGCTATTAGCAAGCCATAGGAAAGCTGGGCGGTGGTGGTGGACGCCTTTAATCCCAGCACTTGGTAGGCAAAGCTAGTTAGATCTCTGTGTGTTCAGGGATACAGCCAGCGTTGGAGACACATGCCTTTAATCTCAATATCAACCATAGAAGACCTGGAGATCTGTACAGAAAGGCAGTGATGAGGCGGTCACGTGGTCGGGTTTACAACCAATGAGAAGGCAGAACCAAAAGTCTTTATAAAGACTTTAACACAGGAAGTAGCTCTCTTTCGGAGAGGTAGGACCACCGCAAGAGGAAGGGTAAGGTTTTAGCTCTTAGCTCTGACCTCTTGGCTTTCTTCTTTGCATTGGTTCTGTGTTTCTTATTTAATAAGACGGTTGGATACATCTACACCATTGGAGAAAACTGATTTTCACTTTGCCAATAGGTATAACTTGCAAATAGCTTCTTGGGTAGAGGTGGGACCTATTGTTCACTGCCCCCTTTCAATAATAGGACCCTGTCTAACTTGAACTTGGGCGTTCCTTGTGCATACTGCCACAGCCTCTGTGAGTTCATATGTGCATCATCCTATTACTCTTAGACTCTATCTGCCTCCTCTTCTGCATGGATCCCTGAGCCTTGTAGGTTGAAGTTTGTGATGGTATTTTGGTTTTCAACTTGACTACATCTGGAAATAACTAAAATACACACACACACACAAAATGGCTGAGCACACCTGTGACAAAATTTTGCTGAGTTAAATCATTTGAAGTGGGAAGAGCCACTTCTAATCTGGATCTATGAGGTGGGAAGACACACCTTTAGTGTAAACCTTGTGAGGTGTGAAGACTCATCTCTAATCTGGGTCACACCTTCTGCTGGAAGCCTATATAAAGAGCACGGAAGAAGGAAGCCCCTCTCTTTGCCTGCTTGCTCTTCCCCTTGAGAGCAAGTCCATTCCTTCACTGGCATTAAAGCTTACTTCTGGAATCCTGCATATACCGAAGAACAGCGGAGACATCCAGCTTGTGAACCGAGCAACTCCTGGATTCTTGGAACTTCCACTCGTAGACAGCTACTGTTGGATTAGCTGGACCACAGCCTGTAACCGATTCTAATAAATCATATATATATATATATATGATATATATATATATATATATATCATATATATATATATATATATATAGAG